CATAATCTTTTAAGATTGATTGCTTGTTAAAAAACCTGAATACATCTTCTAAGCATGTAATAGCATTTTCTGTACAAGTCACTAACATAATTTACATGCTTCACAAAAATGTACCCTGATAATTCTATTTTGCAAAGAGAGTTGAAAAATTCTAAAATAAACTAGCTAGTTGACTGCTACTTGAGTAGCTAGTCATTCTGATAGTTTACTGTTTAAGAGTCAGACTAAGAGAGGCTGTAAGACATCAACTGGCACATGTGCTAAGGCATTCAAGAGAAGCATAAACATAGAGCAATATACAATTTGCATTGAGAACAAGTAGTTGCATGACTGTTCTGTTGCCTACTTCAATTCTGTAATAAAATTTGCATCTTAAAGCCTTTTGTTATATTTCATTTTTTGTTTTCAGGGTGGTCAGGTTCTAAATGCTACCACTTCTGGTGAGAGTATGCACCATAACATGTGAGATGTCATTATGTAGGAAATGGACCCAGTAAATGTCACCATTTGCATTAAGATTTATCATTGACTCCCAGCACAACCAACTGTAAATTGAGGCATCCTGAAATTTGTCATAGCTGCCAAACAGGTTAGTCTGTAGTCTATATAAATTCTTTCTCTCTAAATTATTTAAGCAACTATAAATTTCAGCAAGCAACTGAACTAAAGAATGGTACTGTTTCCCTAAAGTGTTGGTTTTATTCAATCTTAAGATTTGGTTTCCTTTTTAAAAAGACTAGCAATGCAAAATTTTATTGAATTTTGACCTTGCATTTCAATTTTACTCTGTTCATTGCATTCCTAAAAATGTATTTATGACATTTATCTGGGTATACATAGGCTGCTAACAAAAGGGTCCCTATTAATTTATTTCAAACAAATTATTAATTAAAGAAATTTTAACTATTGCAACTATTTTCATGACGTGAAATGATATGCATTCATTTCATGACTTTCATGATATGCATTCTTTATTCATAATGAATAAAATTTGGTTGAATTCAAGACAATCAAAATGATCAGTCATATTTTTTGCCCACATTTAGTTATACTGTACGTTTCTTTCAGCTTTAATTTTTATGATTTTATGTATGAAAAATCAAACAACAGTAGATGATATTGACAGAAATACCTATAAACGATGGAAATATTTTCCTGAAAATGTTCTAATTACCACAATCTTCCTTTCAACTTTTGTTTGAAAGTTCCATTATGGGCCAAATTATAGTTAGTCATGCAAAGAATTGACGGTGACATCAGTGTTGAGGTACATCTACTCCATGCCATAAGGGCCACCCCACAGTTCACAATCGCAGGTACACCGTCTTTAAAAACATGAATTTGAGATGCTCTCAGGAAAATCTTGTTGCTCTGAACTGAACTGACTTTAAGATTTACGGTACGTCCCAGCTCCACAAGATTGTGAAGTAGAGAACTCATACTTATCCTAATAAATCCGTTCGATTTCAATTTTCAAAAAGAATGGACCCAGATATATTCCTAGAACACTAAACTGTATGGCTCACAAGGAGGTGAAGATCAAAAATGTCGGACGACATTCGGCTGATTTTTAACCGAGCGCTCGCTGACCGTAGTCAAATGACAATCTCTTCGATTGTCCCACTCATGAAAAAGAACGTACCACCCAAAATTGCTTACGCAAATGCGCAAGCAACTGTAGCATACAGTACGCCAACTTTTCCATGTGCATCATAAATTAGAAAGTTAGTCAGTGCGCTGTTATTTGCTGGAGCACTGGAAAGCAGAATTCTTTGTTCGAGCTCCATCGATCAAATTCGCTCATTACTTCTATGTCTCTTCTAGGGATTGCAATAGGATTCGTGAAATTTCTCATTTTTGTTTTGATTCACCGCCGACATGACTTCGCCAATGAATGTTTTCTTATTTGTCATTGTTTCATGATCCACCACAGAGGTACATGGTTGCATTGGTTCTGGTAATATTTGTGATTAGAATGTGCGTGTAAATTGACTGTTTTTTTATAATTGTCTATATGTTCTTCATTCATGTGTATAGTGTTCGGTTACATATTCAGGGTTTAGCTCAATATTGCTAGTCCTAAATTTGGGTTTGTTTTTACATTTACAGAAAGGCTCCAAATCCCTTTTTTGAAATTAAGAACATAAGCAGAGAAAGCACACAGTTCATTTATTTGTATTTGTTTATTCATTAGTAAAGTTCTTAATTTATTATTTTTGTTCATCTTTTATATGCCACTACACCCACGATAACTCCAACAATGTCCAAAACACGTACAGCTTTTGACAATTTCAGGTACAATATATCTAACTTATGATAATTACCACGAAAGAAAACTAGCTCCTTCGAAAAAAATTTACTTTTTTTCAGTCAGTCGAGAGATTTTATCGCTTCTTCTGTGTCCACTACTTTCCTACAAACAGGAGAGTGAATTTTAGAATCTTAGGGTCTTTCTTCTCCAGATAGATTTTAAAGTTGTTGAAGCATTTTAAGACTGTCATTTGAAAAAAGATGATTTTCGACAGATAACGGACTTATTTTAGCCGTCGGTATAACGGGAGCGTGCGACTCTTCTACTTAGATGCGAGGTCCAAAAGGATGGCCGAAACCCTGGCACTGAGTTCCTACACTCTCACCACTGCAGGGTTAGGGATCGTGGGAGCGCAGCCGTGCACCACCAATTTTGTGCACCAATAAGCGCTGAATCAAACGCCTTGGATCTCTCCGGACATCCACCAATCAGCCGTGAACCACTCGGCTTTGTAATCCTCCGGCTTCGCATAGAACCTGCCGTGCACCACCAGGCCGCGGATCGAATCTGACTTCCGGGCATCGTTAAATTACGTAATTTTACGTTCACCGCATCTGAGGTTAGGTTTCAGGTAGCATAGTTCTGTTCCAAAATTTATCGTCCTTCGACAAGTGGCCGTTCGACCGAGGGCTGGTTCGACCCACGGCCTAGATACGGACGGCTTGAAGCGTTGAAGGCTACGTTCCGGAAGGCAGGAATCACGATGGTCCATTACATCCAGGGCAGTGGTGGTCTTCGGCAGGCGACCCGGGATCGTGACCTCCAAGCCGGAGCTTGATGGGTGATGCTGGTTTTATGAAAAACTTGGGTCCATTAAAATCACCCATATTCTCTTTCATCTCATCACTTATGCCCATCTTTCATCATCACATCATCACCTAAACCCATCCGCTCGAGGCCAGCCACTTGCATAATTAAACTCAAGCGAATAGACCCTCGATTTCCAACTGACTGCCCAAAAAATCTTCCAGACAACCTCTAAAGTCCTAAAGGCGTCTTTTATCTGGCTAACCGACACTACAAAAGGCTATTACGCCATTTATGATAACATCTCAGCAATTGACCGACCGATCTCTAAAAAAGAAACCATCGCATTCAACAAAGTTCGATCATTCATAAACGTCGTTGATAAACGTCGTCACAAATGAATAACCCCAGCTAAACAATGATCAATTTGAAAGGACTTGTCACTGACGATGCGAGTCAGGCTCCATTTTGTTCAGTTACACCTGTAAAAGAAACATGTCCTTGAATTTATTCCAATATCCTCTGTGTTGGTGGGTCGGCATCCAGGGTTTTTTGCTTTCAATGCGCTTCTCGGCCCTGGCCAAGAGTGTGGTATCGCTGGAAAACACTGGACTACAAACTAAAGAGCCCAAATCAAGAAAATCCTTTACCTACCTTTGCGAGCCGCAAATGAATATTTGTATGGGATTTCTTCTGGTGGAGCATGCATTCTCCTCATTGCTGCCGAAGATTCAGACCTGTTCCTTGCTGGCACATCGTTCTGGCTATTGACGTCTCCTGACGAGGCCATCAGGGCGCTTGCCCGAGATGACTGCGCTAGAGTTGCATCGGGTTGCTTCAATCAGGCTCCTTCGATTGACCTGATTTCCCGCTACATGAGAGAGGAAGCTACTTCAAGACGAGCGTTCCAACACCAAACGCTTTGGAGTTGAAGTAAGCCCATTTGAAGTTGGGGTTGAAGTAAGCCCATGGCGCTTCTTTGAGACGGACTCAAATGGTCTGTATCTTCCGAACGAAAATCCCGTCATCCACAGTGAAATAAGGAACTAACTTGGAGAGATCAGAAGAAGATAGCCGGTTCCCTTCGTGACTACCTTCGTCGTCATCGTGACGACGCCCTGCAGCAGAAACCAGATTATAAGGGAAATCAATGTACTTGGTTTCGAGTGAAAGGGGGTCGAGTCACTTCTTCAAGGGTGAGAAATACACATCATTTGCTGACTGGAATAATGATGCTGATTGGTCCTCCAGAATAATGACCACGTCCTAATTATCGATGTTACATGCTCATTTGAAAACGGCAACACGGCATTCACGGTGACCAGAGACACATAACTGGCGAAATATGTTGAGACTGCTAGACAATTAAGAAGAACCTACGGACAGGTTTATGCGTAACCCGTCACCGTGGTAAGCTTGGGGAGCTATGACCCTAAGAATGCTTCACTTATGAAGAGGATTGCGACCAAAGCCTACATGGAGCCGTTCAAGCAGCTATATGTGTCACCGATACCATCAGATGGTCACGCATGTTCTAAATGGAACATATAACTGACCAACGACAATATTGATGCTCGCTTTCTTCGTAGGTTTATGCCTGCTTATGTAAATAATTATTTAACCTATTTATAATTGATATTTGATTTCGTCAGCTAAAACTTTGTTGTGTTCCAATTAGCATAAATTTTCTTGGGGTGACCCAGTGGTTACAGTTCAGAGTACCAGGATTGGAGCAGAGAGACGCGAGTTCGATCCGAGCTCTGTGCGGCAGTTTATGATAAGAATCGGCAAGGATGTCGGGCGGTCAAGCACAGCAGAATTGAAGCAGTGAGTTGTGAGTTCGGTACCGCAACAAGCTGTGAATGTTTGGCGATGTTAAGAATTTGCGACAGGCCTACGACATAATAAAACGCAGGAACTGCTATATCATTATTATTAATGAACATTTTGAATTCTAAAAAAAACTCTGGCCCTATCACTTGATATCTGATACGACCCCCATGTAGGGTCAACGATATTAATCCAATTTTTGGATCATGGCGCAGTGCTAGGAGCTTGCTCCATCTTTGCCGCGGATCGGCCCGGTATTGCACTACCTCCGGGATCGGTCCACGAAATAATCTGAGAGTATCAGTTTTCACACGTAATCAATTTCCTTCAACTGCATTTGCATTCCCTTTTCGAACTATGATAGTTCAGATTCTCCATCTCAAGTAGAATTCCAACTGAACCTTAGCTCGCGGTCTACCGATATTTGTTGCTTCTTCAGTGTTATTGTTTAGAAGGAAAGTTTTTAAGTTATTCCTAAATACAATTATGCCCGAGTAGCTTAATTACAAATATAGTTCTAGCAATATTTTAAAAATGATTGTAATGCCTGCTTACATGATTTTCCGACCTGGTGTATTTCAAAGCTTTTTCTAATGTACGACTCTGGCCTTTTGGCGTGCATGCCGCGAATGTCTGGATGATTTTCAAGACGTCACTCGTCTGTGGAGACAGATCCTTTTCGTTCGGCTCAAACATTCCTGACGTCTCCGTTCGTACGACTTTTGATAAACTGCACGACTGTTTATCAAAGTCGACTTTTTTCAACTGTAAGACTGCTCTTCCACTTTTGCTCAACTGTAAGACTGGTCTTATTTGGATTGAGCTATCCCTTCAAAATATAATTTAGCGTATTTTGGCTTCACAATATTTAAAATCAACCCAGTTTTAACATTTAGAAGAAAAATATCGTACGTATTGCGAGTACTACAGCTGGGGTTGAAGTAAGCTTTTTTTACTGCGCGTGGCAAAATATAAATGGTAAAATCAATATTTTTATTTAGGTATAGGCGATTTCTAGACAGGATGTTCAGAAGCATCTCGATGCGGTGAATTTACGCTTTCCCTTTACCACGTTTTACTGGTATCGTATCATATCCCTGTCTACCATTTTTAAAAGGGGGGCATGTGACATCGATAATAATGGCTTGGCCAATTTTCTGAAGGACCAGGTCAGGTCTGCCAGTTTGATCGGTTCCGGGCACAATTTGGTTTTCGGAGATTGTAGTCCAGTGCAGGTATCATGCTGTTGTCATTATATGTTCAACCAAAGTGTTGTAGCGCATTTGCGTTGAGTTCGAGTGCCATACGGTGGTTTAAAACGTGGGGAAGCGTTTCATCAAGCTGACCACATCTTCGACATCTCGTGTCGCCATTTGGTGCACTCCTTGCGCCCTTCACAGGTAATAGATTGAGGCGTCCTCGGTGGATAAACCGCCACCCACCAAACGAGATGTACTTCCTACCCTTCAAGAAGTGGCTCGACGCCCGTTCGGCAGAGACCAGGTGCATTGTTTTTCCTTGGTTTGGTTTCTGCTGAAGGGTGACGTTGCGACGACGATGAAGGAAGTTGCGAAGAAAGCTTGCTATCATCTTCCGATCTCTCCAAGTCAATTCCTTGTTTTCGCTGTGGATAATCGGATTTTCGTTCGGTAAAGACGATCTGAGTCCCAATCTTGAAGATGCGCTACGGGCTTTGCTCCAAAGCGTTTGGTGTTGGAATGCTCGTCTTGGCGTGGCTTCTTCTGTCATAAGGCGTGGGATCAGGTCCATCGAGGGAGCCTGATCGAAGCGTCTCGATGCAACGCTAGCGCGTCCTGATAGCCTCGTCAGGAGAGGTCAATAGTTTGAATGTAGTGTCCACTAGGAACAGGTCTGAGTCTTCGGCAGCAATGGGAATAACGCATGCTCCACCAGAATGACAACCTTGTCCAAGGTGGTTATTCCTTGGATGTAGAATTCTGTCACTCATTTGCTGCTCGCTGAGGTAAGTAGAGCGTTTTCTTCATGAGTGCTCTTTGTTCGCGGTCCAGTGTCTCCAGTGTCCGGCATTGAAGAGGAATCCGCTCAGAGGGCAGCCTTGTCTGACTCCGCTGTTTGCCTTAATAGGTTCTGTCATTCTATTTGCTGTTGCTATGTATGTCGAGCCTCCATTCATTATATATTCGAGGACTTCGATCATGTCGTCTCCAATCCCGCCCCTTCTCAATGTTGTTCTGATGACGGCTGTAGTCATTAAACCAAATGCGTTTGAGAACTCCAGCAGTGCCACCCATGCTTCATCCTGGGAGCGTCTGGCGTTGTCGAGGTATGTTTGAAGTGCAAAATTATGTTCAATCACTCCGTCATGAGGCATGAATCCTTTTTGTGCTTGGCAAAAGACGCATTCGTTTGGGGACCAAGTTCTGAAACGGTCTATAAGACAGCTTGTGCAGATTTTGTAGATGGATCTTCAGAGGGCGATGGGTCTCCAGTTTTTTATGAGTGCGGGATCGCTGCCTTTGGGGATCAATATCGTCTTCGACTCCTTCCACATGGATGGAATTCGTTTGTTTTGTAAGCAAATTTTGTGAATGAGATGAAGGACACGGCACTCGGGATCGACGGCTCTTCAGTGATCGTACGTAATGCCGTCACTTCCCGCTGAGGTGTTCTCAGCTTTTCTCAGTCGCTCAAGGATTACGTTTTCTGGGAAAGGGACCATCGTTGCCTGTTGTCTTTCTGGCGGGGGCTTGGTATGGTTTCTATTCTGCGTGCGTCGAACTGTTCTTCTCGAAATATCTCCGAATAATGAGGCATCACTGTTGCGTTCGTTATTTGGCACCTTTCTGAGTCACCAAGTATCTGGCACGCTGCCCGTCGACGATTGCGGCGCTTCAGTTGTTGAATTGATTTACAGTTCAAAAGGTCTGTTCTAAAGTTCCTCATCTCTTCGGTGGGTGGTCGAAATTTTTGGTGTGTTCTCACTGCCGTTGTAATATCTTCGAGAATCAGTTCGAACTCATCCCAGTTTTTGTTTCGAGCCAGTCCGTTGAGAGGTGCGATGAATTGTTCAAGCACCCACTCAATCGGCCCTTCTATGTCCTTGGTTGTGCGATTGTTCCCAGTCACTTCTGCGCTCTCGTGTTCTTCTTCAGCAGTGTCAATGCTGACGACCCGCTCTTCAAGAGCGGAGACTTCGCTAGCCCCATCACCTTCTTCGGTCTCGGGAATAACTTCTGTAGGCGTGATATTTATTGCTTGCTGCGGTTCTACAGCAATGTCGTCTACAGTGTCTCTAGTTGGAGCGTCGATTTATTGAGTCACTTGGTCATTTGTTCGATCAAGATCCCTCTGCATTTCTTCGGATGGTGGTCTGTCTTGATCGTTTTCTATGGCGTACCCCAGCGCATTTCGGAACTTGCCCATCGCGTCTGTTGTGCATTGCGATGTTATTCAGGAGGCCCCGAGCTGTGGGGAATGATTTGTCGCCACATTCTCGGGGACATACGTGGGTGTGGATTCTTGTCAAAATCTCTCCTGCAGGCGCTGCTGTACATGCATGGCGTGAAAGTCTGATGCCAAGAGCGGCGTCGCACCTAGCACAGGTAATGTTGAACGTCGGTCGAGCGATGAGGTGTCTCCCTTCCAAGTGCCTGCATTCGGCTTGCTTCCGATGGGTCCAATCAGTAGAGGCGCATTGCCCTGAGCACCCAGGTTCGGTGCAGGGCAGGCTGAGAGGCATGGGCCACCAAACTTCTTTCACAGTGGTGCGGAAAACTGAAAGAATGACGAGCGCGGGCCGCATAATCATTTTGTTCAATACTTGCAAGCCAGAATGAAAGCTCTGGGAAAAAAGACGAAAAACTAAGTTTAGCTTTGCATGTTAATAAAAAAACAAAGACAATAAACATTTTATTTACTAAAAAGTTTTGAAAGAAGACGACGTAAGCAAAAAGATAGTAGCATCAGACCTAGTGTGCACATATCCGAATCTCACAAACTAAATAGCAAAAAAGGTTACTGAGATTTGTCAAACTGACGTTTGGCTTTCAAGATATCATCAATGTTTGGTTTGGAATTGCTGCATCCAATCAAGAAAATTGCTTTCAAATGTTCATCAGTCAATCTCGTTCGACGTGTTGACTTCTTATAATTCATTTTTGAAAATGTTTGCTCACGGACATAAGTTCCAAACAGCCGATGCCATACCAGCGGCAAATTTATTCAATTTCGGAAACTCAGGATCTGATCAGGTGCGTAGCGGTAAAATTCGACAAGTTTTCCTTCTCTGTGGTTATCTTTCAACAAGTCATTAGCTTGCAAATCAACGAGCTCCAACTGTAGTTCAGCTGGTGCACCATCAAGGGGACAATCAAACGGATTCTGGAACAGAAGAATGTCTTTCTCAGTTCTGTCGAGATCTGAAAATCTCTCAAAAAAATGCTTCTTCAAGCCACGAATAATCTATTTTGGAAAATCGAGTTTTACATCTTCAGCGATTGAAGCGCGAAACTCTCTGTAACAGTGAAAATGAGAAGTTTTCTCCTTCCAGTTGTGCTTCAAACAATGACAGCTTTCTCCGAAATCCATCGATGATTCTGTAGATATCACAGACGAGGTTATCCTTTCCCTGAAGTTTCAAGTTCAGTTCATTCATGTGGGATGTGATGACCGAAAAAGACAACTTTGACAGCCAGATAGGATCTGACAGCTGTGGATCGGCTCTATCTTTTTCAGTGAGAAAAACATCTATTTCGTTTTGGAGCTTTTAAAAACGGAACAGGACTTTACCACAGCTAAGCCATCTCACTGCTGTGTAATAAGGCAGGTCACAGAAATCAGAATCAATTTCTTCAATAAATGCCTGGAACTGACAGTGATTGAGTGCATGTTCCCGAATGAAATTCACCGCAGAAACGACTGGTTTCTGTAAACAAGAAATATCTAAGTCTTTCCCACAGAGTGCTTGCTGATGTATGATGCAGTGTATGAACAGAGCGCCTGGAATTTGAAGATCTTCCAACTGAGTCCTGATCTGCCCCACCAGACCCTTCGTTACTCCAGCCATGTTTTGACCTCCATCAACTGTAACACCTCGAAGGCTCGAAGCTGATTCCACTGCAGGTTATAGTCTTGCAAAGTTTTCTGCACTTCATGAAAATGTCTTCCAGTTTTTTGTTCCACGCATGCTGCAAACGGATGCCAACATTTTCTGTTATCTGAAAGTCCAAATTGACACCACGAATGAACACGAGAAATTGTCACGTTTTGTCAAGCAAATTAAAGTACCGTCGACGGGCCTGATGAAC